TTTTATTGGTGAAAAAAGCACAACTGTGAATATACAATATACAATATAAAGCATATTCAAAAAGTTCATGGAGAATGTGTGTTATGAATAAACTATACATGGATTCCAGAATCTTTTTTGCAATAAAAATAAGGTCATCTTTTAGTTCCATTTCCATGAACTTTTTGAGGTACCCTCATACATTCTCTAGCATATTTTTAAAAAAAGAGAGATAAAAAAGACATCTAAAAGTCTTGTAGAGAAAATAATGCATTTATGCATAAGTGTCTTGAATTAAGTTCTCCTGGAAGGCATGCTCACATTTTTGAACATTCATTTACTTACTCAACAAACATTTGCTAAACAACTACACATGATAGCCTATATTTATCTATATATTTTAAAAGCAAAATGTCTTAAGATAGGGTCATACAAGAAAGCTCCAACTGGATAGGGTTGACAAAATATATGACATCAAGTTAAGTTAGACTTTCAGATAAACAATGAGTAATTTTTATATGATAAATATTGCATGAGACATACTTACACTAAAAATACACTTGTTGTTTATCTGAAATCAAGTTTAACTAGTTGTCTTGTATATTTTGCTAAATCTGTCAACCCTATGTCTGAAGGTAAATAAATGGTCTAGATGCCATTCTGCCTATTCTGGTAATATGTGTGCTATTTGTTACATGGAGCAAGGTAAGCACAAACAGGATATTGTATCTGAAATATGATCAGATTTGTAGATAAAGTACTTAGAACATAAATATGCAAAGTCTATAAAAAATAAACACCATAAAAGATCTGCTTCATAAAATAAATGAGCAAACCCATGGAAATAGACTATGCATCCTTTTGCAAGTGGGTAGACATTACTAGAGAAGGATTTGACTCATTCACTGATCAAGTATTTATTGACTGCTTATTATGCAAAAGGTACTATGTTGGGTACACTGAATATGCTTATGCATATGTATGTCTATTAGGTGTGTGTCTATGTATGCATACATGTGTCTGTGTGTGTGTGTTTCTACTCTCAGAGCTTAATCCCAATGGGAAGGTATATCAATGCCCACATAATGATAACAGAAGCCCACGGTGCTAAATGCTAGTAATACTTTTGCCATAGTACCTGTGAAGTTTGGGAGACTCAGCTCACTGTTCATATTCAACAGATTAGCTTCTGAAATGTAATTCATCTGCCATACAACAAAGTTTATATCCATAACTCTGATTTACTTTTTCAAAACACACTGCTTCTTATTAATGTAATTTTAGAGAGTGATTATTATGTAATAAAAACAACCAGATGCTATCCTCCCCCTAATTTTCCAGGCTCAGCCCCGTCAGGGAGTGATCCTTAAGTGTAGCAGGAATTAGGGTTTGTTATACCACAGATTTCTGGATGCCATGAGGTTCTGATACAGAGACCCTGGTGAACAGGGGTTGAGCATACACAGGCGAGAATCTGCCTGTTTCCCATACAGGGATCACTCTGCTCTCCAGGCTCATCTTTCAATCTTTCCCTTTTGCTTGCCTTCCATATCCATGTTGACATCATGGTGTATCTTTTTTATCTCCTATGTCTTTCCCTTTACTTCCTTTCTTTTATTTTGACTTTTTTTTTTTTTTTTTAATTTGGCAGGTGGAGTTACAGACAGTGAGAGAGACAGAGAGAAAGGTCTTCCTTCCGTTGGTTCACTCCCTAGATGGCTGCTGCGGCTGGCGCTGCACTGATCCGAAGCCAGGAGCCAGGTGCTTCCTCCTGGTCTCCCATGCGGGTGCAGGGCCCAAGCACTTGGGCCATCCTCCACTGCCCTCCCGGGCCACAGCAGAGAGCTGGCCTGGAAGAGGAGCAATCAGGACTAGAACCGGCGCCCATATGGAATACCGGTGCAACAGGTGGAGGATGAACCAAGTGGGCCACAGCGCTGGCCGCTATTTTAACTTTTATATTTTCTTTTTTTGGGGGTGGGGGAGTATGTAGGAGCCCTGCATTGTTCCAAGACAAGATGGCTTGTGTTATTTTTTTTTCTCTAATTCTCTTGCTTTCAAACATGTCCCCAACTCTCAGTTTCTTTTCCTGCAACTTTCATGGAGCTTCAGTAAGTGCACATGAGACACTTCTAGAGGTGGTGAAGTCCTATCATGGTTTGTTTGGCAATGGACAGGGATTGATGAGAAGAGGGATTCTCTTTATTCCTATAAAATTCCCTAAGGAATGAAAAGAAAAAACTCTTATTATGAAAAAAGTTCAGGAGAAATCCAAGGAGTATCACATTGCTTTTAGCATTTGAATTCTGTAGAGGAGGGAAATATGTCCAAAGTGTATTATTCAGAGATGAGAGACAGACCAAAAACAAACAAACAAAAAAGTAAAATGAAAAAAGAAACCCAAAAAAAAAAACCGAAAACCAAAACAAATAAAATAAAAAAAAATCAAAAAAACAAAAAAGCAAAACTTAATGTCTCCCTAAAGGGGCTAAAGTAATAATGATTGTTGGTTTTTTTAAATTAAGTAATACTTTGACTTTTACGTTGAGCTCTCAATATGCTTCATATATTTACAGCTACCCAAAAAAGCAGGAAAATTATTATTCTCTTTCCTTAAAGTTATGTTAAGCAACCTTTCTTGGTGGGATTCTTTTTGGTTAGATAATGGGTAAGAATACCAAGTCCATCCTGACTCTTCCACGTCTTCCCTAGCATGTTCTACAATCTTCTCAAGTCAACATCTGGACTTCTTGTTTTGGACTTTTATCACTTTCAGAGTTCCTGGGGGAGAAGTGAGACCCCACTTTTTTTATGTTTTCCCAAGAAATTGGAGAGAACTTTGTTTAGATCCTGAATTACTTCTACATGTTCAAGCCATCTTGCCTTTTGAAAATCTAGACCAATTGTTCTTAAACATCATTAGGTGAGGTACTCTTTCAGTTATACCAAAGTCTTGAAAGACAGATGGCCTTTTCAAACTGTTCCTGCCAAAGAGTTCTGGAGTGTAAAGGAACAGTTTATTTTGAGTGAGATACTTGATTGATACATATATATGCAATATTAATTCTTTCCAGATGTAGCCATATTATACAATGCAAAAATCATCATAATTTACTTGAGGTCTGCACACTATACATCAATTCTTATTTATAAAATGAGTTGTTAATTAAAAAATTATCTTTTATTGTAGCTTTTGCATCTATGAAGTCCAGATACACAAACTTATTGCTGCTTTTCACATGGAAAAATCTAGGTATTTGGGGTAACCACAGAATCCTCTGGTGAATCCACTGGATAAATGTATTTATGCATCACAGAGATAATTTTAGGCGGTGCATTTCAAATTTCATGTTGCAAATTTAAGCCTTATCTCATGTGCAGTCCAATAGAGTGTGAATTTTATATCCAGTAGGTCCACTGGAAGTCAACTTTGGAAAAGGAGATGCTTCACAGATAATCTCTTTTTCACTTCTACTCTTTAATCTGATGGCTTATAAGATAGTTTTTGGAGGAGGAAAGGATATAAACTGTGACAGCACTTTATAAACCATAAGTTGCCACACAAGCACAAACATTACTATTTGATGAATTCATGTGCTAATGACGATAACCCTACACTATATAAAATTTCCTTCGATTGGTCTCATATCATTAGTGTATTCACATTTACCCCAAGTAAACGTAGTAATTTGCTACTACCTAATTTTCTTCCTAAATTCAGTAGTGAGTCACTATCTTTATTTGAAGGTATTTGAAAACTATAATCTTTAAGAGCAATTGATTTGTATAAAGGCACACACATTGATTTACACAATGCGCTGACTTTAGCTGAACTGCAAAGAAGGCAAAGCTCATCTTCAGTAAGGTTCTATTTCAGTTGTTCACTTCCATGCTGGGTGTCTACTTTCTATATCTGTTGCCTTCCTTCTCTTCCAGATCCCAAGTTAAACTTTCTGTTTTATGTTCCATCTCTTAGGTTCCTACTAGCTGATACAAGGTCTACTGAGATACAAGGTTGTTTTGAGCAATTCATTTGCTTTCATGTACCAGAATTTCAGTGAGTGACTTTTCCCTGGAGAATTACATGTCATTTAATGGGAGTATTCTGAAACAAGAGGTTTGTCAGGAAGTGCAACTCTCCTAAGAATTTCAAATATGATGATCACAAGTGTGATAGGTATTTTCTGGTACAAAAGAATTTATGTGAAATCATAATTATGTGTGCAGTCACTTATTTAGAGACTTACATATGGAGTTCTCATTATGGAACTGGGAAAAAGCATCATGGGAAAGTCAGGAGAGCTTAGCTCTGGAATCCTAGAGTCCAGGCCCACGTTGACCAATGTCCCTCTCTAAGCTCCCTGCAAAATGACCACATATTCTCTCCTTGAGTTACTTATCATTGCAGGGACTTGCACCCTTTAGAGGCAGTCTGTCCCACACAGGAGTAGCTGTGATTGTTAAGAACCGTTTTCATTTATTTAGTTGAAAGAATTTTCTTAGATCTAGTCATTGGTCCAGTTCTACCCTAAGAAGCCAAATGGAATAAACTTAAAGTTCCTTCCTCCCAATCATCCCAATAATGCTAATGACAGCTAGCGAGCTTATGTGATATGTAAGGGAACTGAAGTATAGAAGAGTTAAGCAATTCTTCCAGGGTGACAAGGTTTGGTAGAGGCCAAGCCTGTGTCCAAACCCAGGCAAAACAGCTGAAGAGCATTATGCAACCCTTGAACTACTTGCCTCTGGCTTTGTCAGATGCCCTGACTCTTTTCTTCTGTACCCCTTCTCCATAAAGGTTCATGTCATTTATGTCTGTCAGAGGAAGGTACATCTTTGCTATAAAGGGGGTGCAGCTGTGGCTTCTAGAATCATAATTACATTCATGGCTTTGGGGGAGGGGTCTCTTTAAACACCTGAACGAATGCTCCAAACCTTCCCTTCCACCTGCCGGTCCTGCCCTTCCCTCTCCACGTGCCCTTGCACCCTGCAGCCAGGCCTACAGCAGCGCCTGCACTCACCTGTGTGTACAAACATGTGCTTGACGTAGTTCTGTTTGGCGGTGAAAGTCTTGTTGCAGAGAGTGCACTCATAAGGCTTTTTTTCGCCTTGCCCGCTGGCTGTGCTGTGGCCGGCCGAAGAGGCCAGGGGCTGTGGCGCTGGCAGCTGTGCAGTAAAGGTAGACAGGCCGGGCTGGGACACTGTCACAAACTGGGTCTGCTGGCCTGCCAGAGGCTGTGGCAGGCTGAAGAGGAAAGGCTTGGGGCCGCTGCCCGCAGGCTGGGTCGTGAAGAGGGCCGGCAGGTAGGTGTTGCCAGCTGTGCCAATGACCTGTGTGTTGCTGGTCAAGGTCAGAGGCATCCTCAGGTTGCTGGTGAGGGTTTCTGTCTGGCGTAAGTAGAGCTGGGTGCTTGGCAATGGCTGCCCAATGGATGTGTTGACCGCAGGCTGTTGCAGGACGCTCTTGTCCGAGCTGTTACTGACTGTGATGACTGTGTTGTCCATCTCCACCTCGTTGCTTCTCTCCGGAGAGGAGGCCCCAGTTTCTAGCTGGTTCTGCTGTGGGCCGCCCTCGGCTGGGGCTTCGGTGGCCTGCTCGGGTTGGGCCGGCTCAGCCTGGCCATCCCGTGTGACTCCGGGCCCAAACTGCTGCTCTACGGAGTCGGGTTCGGTGCCAATGGAGGAGCTGACGCCCGAGTCGAAGCTTTCGCCTTTGGGCTCGCTTTCGGTGCCCTCGGCCTGGTCGGTGTCTTCTGTGCACTCTTCGGATTCGTTGCGCTCCAGGATCTGCACCCTTGGCTGCCCGTAGTAGTCATAGTCGTCCTCCATCTCCTGCTTGATGTGGATGTTGCCCACCAGGGTCTGGATGCGCACAGGCCGGGGCTGCTTGCGGCAGTGCGTGGTCTCGGGGGTGGTGGACAGGTAGCGCTCCATCTGCTGCGAGCGCTCGTGGATGCGGGTGATCCAGCTGGGGTCTTCCATGTGGTGGTCTCGGGGCAGGCCGAGCGCAGTCTCATGGTGGCTGACCACGGCACCGCTGTAGAAGGAGCGCTCGCCGCTGCCGTTCTGCATGGAGCAGGCATAGAGCGCCGAGTAGATCCTGTCCACACTGTGCTGCGGGTGGCTCTGCAGGTAGCCCGACTCCGTGTCGCTGCTCTGGCCCGAAGTGCCCGACTCGGGCGTGCCCCGAGGCGTGTCCTGGCCCGAGTCCTGGATCCCCGGGAACACATCGCCCACGTTCTGCGACACGATGCGAGTGCACTCATCGATGACGGTTTTGATCTGTAGGATGCTGGCGGCCGTGAGGATCTGCAGAGCTTCCGACTGCGAGACGCGCAGCACGCCGCTGTACATGAAGTCAATGAGCTTTTGCACCGACTGTACAGACACCACCGACGGGATCTCAATGTCGCTGTAACCCAGCAGCAGCTTGTCCTGGAAAAAGGGGCTGCCGGCCGCCAGCACGCAGCGGTGCGCGCGCAGCATGCTCCCGTGGATGCGCACCGTCACGTCACAGAAGTGGCCACGGTTGCGCTGCTCGTTGAGGGTCTCGAGCACGGAATTGCTGAAGTTGTGAAGGTTGATGCTGTGAATGCGCTCGGTCATCCCCTTGCAACTGATGTCACCTGCAGTTCGGCAAGGCAGACACAAAACAGGCACGGGTCAGAGCTGATTGGCTGCGCTCCTAAGGCCTAGGCGGCAGGTGAACAAAGCTCCTGGGGCCTAGAAGTGCCCCCCCTGCAGGGAGATGGACAGGCTGTCTGTACAAGCCATAGGTGGGAAGGCCTAGAGCGACAGGGTTCTGCATTTTGCTTCAATTACAGCCTCAAGGCCCCCACTATTTTGGGTGCTGAGACTCCCCCAGACCCTCAGCCCGGATGTCAGTTGAAGCAAAGCGGCCCAAAAGCCAAATGGGACATCTTCCTGCTATTCCTACAACTTCAGCAACAAACTGAAAGGCCCATGGCAGACTTGATGACATGGCTCACTCTTTCTCCATTTTAGATAGACCTAATAAGCCCTGGACCTTTGGGAAACTATATAATAGACAATCCTCATTATATTCATGGACAGCGACAACATTCATAGTTAACAAATAACACTCTTCCTTCTCCATTTAAATATTAGGTTCTTGAAAACTTACACCTTGTGAAAATTCTTGGAAAATTCAACCCAATCTAAGAGGCCTACCAAACAGCTGCCACTGTGGCTTCCAGATGAGGAACGGGCTGCAGAATCTAATAATCCCTAGCTGCAGGGGCACCGACCAGCACAGGCTTTCTGACTCTACCCATTCTTCCTGTCATCTCTGACAGACAACCTGTCTGAGCATGTGCCTGGGTTGCTGTACCCGCTATGGATGACTTTCTGGGCTTTCTGTGGTATAAGGAAAGATTGTCAGCAAGGTCAGCATTGGCAGTGCTGACTTGGAGAGACTAGGGTACGCTAGGGTAGCATATCAAGCACTCAGACTGGGCACTTGCAATGTGAAGGGCAGTGCTGCCAATGATTAGGATAGAGGGGAGATACGATCACCCTCAGTGAAAGGGTGCCCTTCGGGGTGTCCTCAACAGCTCCCAGGAGAAGCTGTGTGGAGACCGTGGATAGTCTGACCCATTGCCATTCCTCTACCTAAGACTGTGCAGACAATGGATAATGTTGGTAACATTTAGACCCAGAATTAGGAGGAAAATGATGCCTAGTCTTAGGGCTTTCCTATTTTCCCACCTCAGTGCCGGCATCCCATAGGGGCACCAGTTAAAGTCCCAGCTGCTCTACTTCCAATCCAGCTCTCTGCTATGGCCTGGGAAGGCAGTGGAGGATGGCTCAAGTCCTTGGGCCCCTGTTCCTGTCTTCCTGGCTTTGGATTGGTTCAGCTCTGGCCGTTGCGGCCATTTGGGGAGTGAAACAGCAGATGGAAGACCTCTCTCTCTTTCTCTGCCTCTGCCTCTCTGTAGCTCTGCCTTTCAAATAAATAAATAAATCTTTTAAAAAATTGTATTAGGCCATAGTTTCTTTCTTTTTCAATTATGTAAAACAAATTCTCTTTTTTTCTCAAGATTAAAGAATCATGGTTAATCTGCTGTAAGTGTCGTATTACACAGTATGGCGCCAGAAGAAGGCAGCGATTATTACCCAGGAAGGAATATTCCAGGCCAGGTCAGCTGACCACATTCCAAGTTCTTCCTGAGTCCCCCATGCCCATATGTCATGATAGTAATAAGAGTAAACATTATTTTAGAGCTCACCACATGTCAAGCACTGTTCTATCTAGTTTGCATATTTTTTTAAATTTAATCCTTATAGCAGCCAGAAGGTACAGGTAGTACAAGGGCATTTCAGAAAGTTCATTTCAAAAACGCATATTATGAAAAAGCTATGAATGGATTTCAACAATCTCTTGCACTAAAATAATTTCACCTTTTAATTCTGTTATCTACAAACTTTTTGAAGTACCCTCATATTATTATTCTCAGTTTACAGATGAGAAAACTGAGGCCAGGGAAATGAGGAAACTTGCTCAAGGCTACAGTTGCAGATGGTGTGAGAGCTGGCATTTGACCCCGGGCAGCCTGGATTTAGAATCCACCCTCTGACCACATGGCTATCTCATATGCTTAGGAGGTGTGGTCTTTAGGTGTTTGAGGAGCTGCTGTAGAGCTGTATGGAAATGTTTCTCCTGTACTTCCTCTAGCTGCTTCTATACCTTTCCATGACTTAGCATGGCTTTTGTGTCCTAGGCTTTGAGGCTTCAACATTGCCTCAGTCATCTAAATAAAAAACATATATAACTTTTAAATGGCCCAATGCAAGAAATAAAACAACTTGTCCTGGCAATAAAATGTAGTTTCCTAAACAGTGTCACAATTATAAATGTCTCTCTCATTTAAGAAAAACTGTCAGGGCCAGCACTGTGGTGTAGTGGATAAAGGTGCCACCTGCATGTTGTCATCCCATGTGGGTGCCAGTTTGAGTTCTGGCTGCTCCACTTCTAATCCAGCACCCTGCTAATGTGTCTGGGAAAGCAGCAGAGGATGGCCTGAGTCCCAGGGCTCCTGCACGCATGTGGGAGACCTAGAAGAAACTCCTGGCTCCTGAATTCAGACCAGCTCCGCTCTGGCTATTGTGGTCATTTGGGGAGTGAACTAGTAGATGGAAGATCTCTGTTTCTCTCATCTCTCTCTGTCTCTCCCTCTCTCTCTCTCTTTCTGGAACTCTGCATGTCAAATAAGTAAATTTTTTAAAAAATAAAGAAAATCCATAAGCACCTAAACTTGGCTATATCTATAATAAAATCACTGTCTCTGAGTAGAATAACTTTATTAAGACTTTTTTCCTGCACAGATGAAAACACTCTTTTCGCACACATTTGCTCATAGCATGAGTTATAGCTGTATCACTAGAGGGGATGTATATGATAGGGTTGTCTTCTCCCAGATAATCCTGGGAAGCGCTCTATCACAGTTATCATAATAACTGACACTACTGCATGGTTTTGCAGTGCATAAAACTCTTTCACATGAAACATTCTATTTATTCCTTACAACAATCTCTTAAGTTTTCATTTTCAGGGCAGGCCTTCTTTCTTATTCTTATTTGTGCTTAGACAAAGTTGAGGCTCTCAAAGTGTCTAAATTGCCTGCCCAAAGGTTAGTTAGCAAATGGAGGGGTGGAATTAGAACCTGTGAACTTTGGGATTAGAACCTGTGCCTCTTGATATTCTTTTCACTATGTAACACAGATCATTGAGGAATGAAACTTGATTTGCCAAAATATCTAGGATTATGCGAATTCTCAGGCAGTGAAAGTGATGATGGAGCTTGCTTTAGGAATGAGAAATGGTCAGCACGATAAACTGTCACTCTGTCACACCTGTTCACATTCATGCACACATGCACACAATTTCATGAGGAAAGTCCAAACTGCTTGTCCGACTGATCTGCATTGCAAACTTAGTTGACAGAAACAATCAGATTATCTGCTAGAGAGTCTGAGTTATGATGACTGCTGTGATGTTGTCACCGACTTCATTAAAAATCCCAGAGACATACTGAAACCAGCACACATATACAAACCTGACCTGACCAGCCCAGTGGGATTTTTATACACACAATTCTTAAACATCTCTCAGTGAGCAACTGCAAAAGGCTGAATGGTTTTTGCTGATGTGGGTACAGATGCAGTGGGGGACCCTGCCTCTCCATTGAAGCACGCCTCATTCCTCTAGCACACAATGCTGAGGCAATTCCTTTCCCAGGCTTTCTTTTATTTTTAACACTAATACAGTGGGAAAAAGTTTCTGCCACAGCAAGGCAAAGTCCAGTCTTTTGTGAACATGTCCTTTTCATCCAATGGGCATTAATGTATAGATTCCAATGGAATAAATCTGAAATACTCTACTGTAGAAGATTTGTCCCCTATTGAAAACAAATCTTGATTAGATGGTTATTCACGGACTGTATAGGAAGGAATGGTGTGAAAATGCTAACTCCATTCTTTCCTAGATTGGCACTGAATAGGCATTTGGGCTATTCAAAAAAAAAAAAAAAATCCCAACCCCAACCTTCTCAACTTCACAAAACCATGCAATTTTACATAGATTATGTGCATTTGAGGATGCCTTCCTAACCCCACCCCACCCCAAAATAAAATCCCACAGTTGTATGAACACAGAATTGGTAGCAAATGAAAAAGTGATAAAAAATAGTTCTCTCTTTATTTAAAATAATAACCTGTCTCCCTTTCCCCAGAGTGAAACAGAGTCAGCCTATGATGCATTCACTAGAAACATGCGGAGCTGTACCACCGACAGTGATCCGTATTCTGAGGGACTGTGTGCCATGAGGGAACAGTGTGGAAGGGGCCAAAGCAGGGTGTCTCCAAGGGGAAAATCTGCCCGGCGAAATAGGTGCATGAAGGCCTGGCTCCTTGTTTTGCAGGAACATTCCTTCTGCCTTTCCCTTAAGCTGCGGGGGGTCCCAGGATAAGACTTAGCATGAGAATAAAAAGCTGCCTGCTCACAAGAGAAAATGAACAAGAAAGGAAACAGCAGGCAATACAATCTCTTTTAATTAGGTGTGAAATCCAGTCAGGAGAGCAAAACGATATATAAAATGAGACTAGTGCAAAGCTAAGGTTCTGTAGAAGGGGGTGGGAATTTGAAGTCTCTTTGTGACTTGAGAGGAAACACCAGCTCTCAAATTAAACCTAATATGAATTTTGGTCCAATCAACAAGTCTAAGTCAAATGGTACAGCCAAAAACCCCTTGAGCATTCAATCTGGGGCACTAGGTTCAGATGAGGTAAGTGGGTCAGCACATGAAATGAGGCTAGGGGTGACCAGGCCTCCACACCCAGCCTCACACTTCATATTCTTCATAGCACATCTTGGTCCCCTTAGTGTGCTGAGCTCGAGTTTGTACATATCCGGAGATGAACAATAATCTTAAGTTATTACATGTTGGTTCCGCTTGCCAACGTGGTCACACTAGCAAAGACCTGGTTGTCTCTAGAGAAAGGAGGGATGTAATTTGATAACGCAGCTCCCATTATTTCCCAAATCCTCTGCCAGGGCCAAGACCTCAGTTACATGCATCAGATATAATCATAGAACATACCCTCTAAA